CCTTCTTCCTCAGAGCTCCTGTTAACTTGTCTTCTTCAGCAAGCATAGAGGCTTTGATGAATCATCTAGTGGTTTGCCACAGAAATGAAGAAACACTGTGCTACTAGCAGAGGCGTCAATTAATTTCTTTCTAAACAAGGACACTCTTGAGACCTTCTTTATCTTAGTCTTCTTTTTATCTTAGATTACCAAGTGAAGTTGATGCAGTATGTCAAATCAAAGCCACAAGGAGCAATTTGGGCAAATCCTGATCTTAATTCAGCTCATCTAAACAGCTCTCATGAGTGCGGCAGCTGGCCCAGACAACTCTGGGCTACTGTATGTACAACTGTGAAAACCTGACAGTCCTTTTTTTTTCTCTGTTAGATAGGAACTTATTCTGAATTATGTTTTAAAGAAAACCCTAGAAATCACACTCTCATTGTCCTACTCTGCTTTCCAAAATACATAAAGCTTTTGTAACTATAATTCTTAGCCCCATCCCAAACACAGTAGTATCAGTGACACCTGGAATTCTTACAAAAACAGCATCAGAGTGAACAGTGAGCATATGTCAAATGAATCTACAAACCCAAATATTTTATTGAGAATATATATATATAAAATTCTTTTGTCTACATTGTATACACACACATAAGTTAAAATATTTACTTGTACAGTACTTATTGTACAGATAAACTATAAAATTAAGCAGGCTAATATGATAGTACAGTGGTGGTAATTATTCTAGCATAGAAAGTAAATTAAAAATGGGTAGGATCACCTACAGTGGTATATTACAGCAAAAAAGTTAGATTTGAGTCGTTATTTGAGTAGTTAGATTTGAGTTAGTTATTGAGATTGGCTAAGAAAGAAAGTAAAAGATCTAAACTGATTGTCATGTGAAGGAGTGCATTAGGAAACAGTACTCTCAATTTTACTGTTTCTGGCTTCTATCTTTTGTAATACACAATAGGGAAGTCTTTTCTCTGATTTGCTTTTAAGCCTTTAGCACAATCAAAAGCTGGAGGTATTGTAAAGAAAATCTGCAAATACCATGAAAATATCTTGTGGTAACATTCTTATTCAGGCTCTGGGCCTGATTTTGAAAGATCTGAAACACCCAGAGATGGCAATGGCAAGCTCTTCTGCAGGTCAGATATTTGGGGTCTTGAAGGTTGTTTTATAATCTTGTTTTCATGTTCTTGCGAATCTATATATATATATATATATATTTTTTTTTTTTTTTTTTTTTTTTTTTTTTTTTATTTTTTTTTTTTTTTTTTTTTTTTTTTTTTTTTTTTTTTACTTTGTACTAACTCAGATTTTATTAAAACCATTCAGAACAGATCTTGATGTTCTAAGTCAATACTTCTTGCTTACCAGTAGGATACATAACTTTGGTCAGCAGAACAATTTCCAATCTTTGAGGAATCTGATAATATATTTAAAGTTAAGACAATAATAATTATTTTTAAAATGAAGTTTCAGAAATGCTGGGTCTTTTAGATCCTCTCCATTGCATCATTCTGCCTATGGCACCATCTTCACAAAAGTTCTTGCACGTTAATGGCATGGGCCATATAAAAACTCAGTGCTTCAAAAAATTAGGTTTTTGTTCTTTGTATTTCATTGCCTTGTCATCTGAAGGGAAAAGTCCATTTTTGCCATTGTATTTTCACTCAGAAGTGGTTTGAGATGGCTGCAGTCTGAAGTATAACCAAAGCAAAACAGTAAGGTTTGAAATTGTATGTTCAGTGTTTATGCAGGCTGTATGGAAGCCACAAAGAAAAATAAATTTGAACAATCACATGTAGATCTGAGAGGCAACTGAAGCAATGGCTCCTCAATTCCCAAAATATGACTAACTTTAGAATTATATATCCCAACCAGTTATCACATGCATGGTTTATTGGTACAGTGTAACCAAATACACCCAAATGCCTGGCTCTTCAGTTTTAAGAGTTTAAACCATAGCCTAAACAGAGAATTTTAAAAAATGTATATTATTTTTAATGCTAAAAGAAAAAGAAAGAAGCTGACATATCTCTCCTATGATGTCAGAGATTAGGAATTCCTAAGTTTACAAGACTATTTAGAAACATCATATCTTTTCATACTGCTAATGATCCTAAGGGGCTCCAAATATTCATTAAGGACTTGTGACAGCTGCCTTTTGGGTATAATGGAAAACCATCTCCTCTTAAAAACACAAAGCAAGTAGTAATTGGTCTTTGGTTCTGTGGGCAGCCAAACCTAGTGTCTGAAGTACAAACCTAGTACTGAAGTCCTGATTCTTTGAGGTGTTACAATGTGGGTTTTAGCCACCTGGTTTTCACAGAACAACTCCATGGTCCTCAAAATTTGGCCCAGAGTCTTGAAGGTCCTTTAACAGTACTGATTTTATACCTCTTCTTAAGGTAATTCCATCAAAAATAGTCTTTTTTTTCCAGCATATAAAATGCTGACTCTATAGATAGAATCATATGACCTACCTTATTTATTTTAAACAAAATGAAATTCCAATCTATTTGAAGCATACGTAAGAGCAAGCAAAAACTATGAATACAGATTTGCTAAAATAATGTGGGTGATCACCTTTATAATAAAATTTAGTAATATTTTAATATTAATTTTTATATTCATTATTTCATAAAAGGTGTTATATTTTTGTATGTTATACACATCTATTATATACATATATATTATATACATGGTGTAGCTCATCTTTTGCAGATTTGCATAAACTTATTGAACAAGCATATCTGAAACACTTATTGCATAGAGAACTTGAAATGTGCATTTTAAATAATGACTTTCAAAGGAAAAATTGTAATCATTTATGGTACAAATTTATATTGAAGCTTCACTGAAATGTTTCAATAGAGTTTACTTAATGTTAATCTATTCATTTGGGGGTAAATGAAGAATTTAATGGTGAAGTGATGTAACTAGAATATAGTCTCAAGTGGTGTGTTAGGTTTATCAATCAGTGAAAATTGTGCACTTGAGTGTAAGAGCACATGTCTATCCATATGATTCTTGCAACCTCAGTTAATTGAAACCCTTTTTCCACCCTATTATCAATACTTGAAAAATAGCTCCAACCACATCTATTAACCAGTGCCTTAATAGAAGCTTTATCAGCTCCATATAAATTGCACGTATTTTGCTAAAAAGCAATTTCCATAATATAAGGGTCAGTTCTATGGTTCACTGGAGATGTTTGCTCAGGAGGTGTTGGGGCACAACTGGATGGATGGATGGAGATGGATAGAGCTGTGAGCTTGGTCTTCAATCCACTGAAACACTGGCAAGGCTGGAGGTCCAATCTGATTACACTCTCAGTCCTCATTAATTTTAACAAAAGCAAGGTGTGCTTATGATGAAAATTAGGCTTGACCACTTGTACAGGGAAATCTAAATCAGACTAGAAATATGTGGTTTTAAATTTCCTATTTTAAAATAAACCCCAACCTTTAGACTCAGGACAGCAGAATTATACACCAATATGTCCTAAACAAATCTGAAATGAAAAGTTCTTCTTTCCAAAGCAACTTCTCAAAATTTTTAATTCATATTTATAATTTCCTTTCTCCCATAGATACTTGATTCAAGTGAAGAATAAATACAGGGTTTCTGTGCAGTTTGGCTCAGTGTCTCCTGAGATCATGGACAATTCAGCTGTCAATTCAGTTCAGCCAATTGTCAACATAATGAATCAACAGTAGAAGAAAAATGAAAGCATCTACGAAGAAGGAAGAAAAAGAGGGATATGAGATGCTCAGCAACACCTAATCTAGGGCTACCTAAAGGTCCCTAAAGGCATTTCTAATCTTTAAAGGCATTTTGGAGCTTTAAATCCACAGGGTTTCACTTCTGCTGAGAGATTACCCACATACAACAGATTTTACTTTTGGTTTTGTGATCAAGTTTTTTAATCAGTTCCATCAGATGTGAGAATATTAGTATAGGGCAATTATGCTGGGTAATGCTTAGTTTTGGGCATATTCTTTTTCATAGTTAATTGGACCCCCTGTTCCTCAGGGAAACTTGTTGCCACAAAACAGAACTTTGCAGTGTTGGAGGGGTCCATGGGACAGCAAGAATATTTTTTTTTTTGTTACTGTTATTTCTTTGTGTAGATCTGTCCCTATGATCTTCATCCATGAGCAGTGGGCAAACCAGTGGAGAAAATTAACATAATAAGGATCTATACTCAGTTGTATGCAGAGGTAATATACTGGAAGCATTTGCATTACAAGTGAGCAAATAGCTTTCCTTTTAGTCTTAAAGTGCAGTTTTATGGGACCATATATTATGTGGGAAGGCAGAGCTGAAACTGGTACTTCATTTATCAAGGCATGCATAGTTTAGTGGTTGTGGCACAGCTATTCATAGGAGGAAAAAGGAGGCCGCCCCCACCCTCAGGGGGACTCTATAACTCTTGTAAATATAGCTCTGCCCTGATGGCTGCTCTTTCTACAGCCATCAGAGCAGAGCTATAGATCTGCAAACTGACCCAGGCCAGGTTAGAGCTCAGAAAGGTGCTAAGAAACTTGGCTTGTAGAAAGGAAATTAGGGCTCAAAGTTACAAGAAGGCAACAAAGAAGATCAGTGCTTTACCATATTTACAAACATTGTTTTCATTGTTAAGACATTATAAATTATGCTACAGTGGGCAGACAGGCCAAAACCATAGCTGAAAGCTATCAGAAATATTCTTATGCAATGAAGAACTTCCTTTTACAGTGGGGTATTTCTTCACTGAGAGAAGATCACTGCTATAAAGAGTAGGTATTTATCAATTTTCAAAGGTCTTGGCCCATGAAAGCTAGTGTTAGATTTGGAATTTCTCTTTTGTTGCCAAGGTGACAAACACTTATAAATATACCACATCTTCTAATGTGCTTTTAACTTAGTATTTTTATGGCTTTTAAATCAGATACCATTAGCAAATATATTAGGTAATTTAGCTGAAAGACCATTTTCTACTAACACTTTTTGTTACATTTCCCCAGGTACTTCAGTAAATGTCTGTTGTGACATTGCAGTCCTGCCAGGCTTCTAGCATATAAGGATACATACAGTACATCTGGTAAGAATTAACATATTACCTTAGGGCTTTCTAATTTTTTTTTTTTTGTATTGATGATTACAAATTGTATAAAAGAAGACAAATACTAAGGATTGGATCCTACAGTCCACTGACTTCAGAGGGAACTCTGTGGAGGTAATTACTCTGGGATTGACCAGAGGCCATACTGTGTGTTGTTTTTTTTGGCTCCTATCTCCCCTTTTTACAACCCAGTAATGAGGCTGAAAACACAGGGGAGACCATAACAGCTCCATAGCTGGGCACTTCCCTCTGCAAAGGAGAAGCAAACAAACCAACAAAACCTGCCTGTGTGTTTTCTTCTTTTTCATAGAGTTGAGGGCCGGAGAGACCTTTGCCATCATCTGATGTGATGCCTTCAGGACACCAAGCCAAGGAGCTTTCCTGCCTGGAAACCATCTGGCAGCCATACAGGCCAGCTCTTGGACAGAGCGTGGCTTGAAGGCGACTAGCTTGGAAACTGGTGCTGGCAGATGAAGTAGCAAAATCTGCAGGAGTCGCTTGTCCACAGGAGGCTGCTGCACCTCAGGAGTCTCTTGGGGCCACGGGAGGGTGACCTCCCTGTGGGCGGGTGCTGCAGGCACCAGTGGTGGAGCCATGAGAGAGCTCAGCAGCAGGACTGGGGCTGGCTCCACAAGCACAGGTGTACATGGTCCCTCTGACTGCACAGAACCTTGCCCTGTGCTTTTCCTGCTACAAAACCACATCGGGAGGCAGGGCCTGGGCTGGACTCTACTCCCAGGACCTCCATCTCATGCCAGAAATCCTATCCTGCACCGAGGAGCATCCTGGTTGGGAATGCAACCATATGAGCAGGCAGGGCTGGAGAGGTGCGGTGATGACAAAGAGGAGCAGTGGTTTCAAAATACAATTTTTAAAAAATTTTGACAAAGCTCTGCAACACTGAGGATTAAGCACAGTGCATAAACGAGTGAATAAGCTTCCTACAGTAGCTGTGTGTTAGATTGGGTGGAAAAGTCCAATGGAAAAGCATCCAGGAAACATCTTTCATGCCTGCACATTAAATTTAATCTTCCACCCCCATCTTTTAAGACTTGGCATTCATCTACTAAAAAAAATGTTGATCTGAAAGAAAAAGAGAGGGAAAAAAACCCCAGTCTGCTATAACAGTTTGCTTGACAAAATGGGGAGACTTGAGGAATGAATTGTGTGTGAGTTACAAAGAGCCATCCTGCGCTGTAGACACTGGGCCTGTATTTGTCACTCTCGCTCCCAGCCCAGCACTGTCCCATTGGCCTCTTCATTCAGCACAGCTATCTGTCATGAAGAATTTAAGTTTCATATTTTCATCTGTCAGTTGTGAAAAGGCCTGTCAGCTGAAGCTTACACTACCATTTGCTAAAAGGCCTATAGCCCATGCTGACAATACACTCTTATATTTGTGCTTCCAGGCTCCAGATAATCCCCTCACTTTCCTCCTCAGCAGTCCAGTTATGATGAGGCTTAAATTGCATATTTTGGGGGGTTTTAAATCCAGATTTTGCTGATAAATGCTATCAGCAGGAATGAAATGAAATACAGCACGGTTAAGCTCTTATTACCAGCATTTTGTGAGACAGTATTCATATTGAACAGGTTAATATCTAGAATGTCTATAGTCACAGGAACTAAATGTAAGAATGCTAATATCAGCTTTTATCTGCCGTGTCTGTTAAAAAAAAAACCACCCATCCTTCAAACAGAGCATTTCCCAGTTTGTTTATTTAATTTGATTTGCAAAGGGAAATAAGATAACCAGCTCATTCCAATCCACAGCCAATTGTTTTATGCTCCAAGATACCACCAAATTACCCATTAAATACCACAGAAGGTAGAAAGTGTCTAAATCCCCAAAGCACACTTCAAACCCCAACATTTTTCCTGTAAGACTGTTAAAAAAATTACCAAAACAAAAAGCTGGTCACCAACCCATCTCAATCTGATGCATGTTTATGAGGGTAAAAGGACACAAGGTGTGATCTTCACACCTGTAACTTTAGGACTCCACAACTTTAATTAAAGAACAACACAGCAAAAAGTAAAATTGCTTCAGAAACTCAATCTCACCTGAGGATTGTCAGGGAACACAGCACAGTAACTCAGGTTAAACACTTGATGTCTTGTCTCTAAGAAATTTAGTTTCCAACCATTATGCAGCAACAAAGAAACTATATCTTTAATTCATTACAGGATTTTTAATTGCCTAATTGATTAAGACACAATTACACTTTCTGAAAATATATGAGGTTATGTCCCTGTGAAACAACTTTATGTTTTCCTTCTTAGATGAAACATCCTTTTTCCCTGTAGTTCTAAAATATTCTAATATAGTAAAGTAGTGCCAGAGATATTTCTGTTTCATTGTTTTATGTTGTCATTTGGAAACAAACTTCAGAGGAACGTTTTTCAACCCATGGTCTGAGACAGTCTGGAAGGAGAAGACAGAGAGACTGCAAAAAATCCCGTGTAAAGCAGTCTTCCTGTTAACAGATTATAGCCTGATCCCTTTTTCCCTGGAAAGGGTTTTCAGGTTTTCACATAAAAAAAAAAAATAGTTGAGACTTACTGCCTTGGAATATCTTTTTCATGACAAGTAAGATGGGAAGGTGCTTACCCTCAGCTGGCTTCTGTTCAGAAAATGAGAGCAGCTACAAGTCCGTGTATAAAGTGACTCTATGGAAATGTTCCTGAACATGCTTCACATGGTACTCCTGTGATTAAAACAACTTGTGAGTGCAGATTTGAGCCTATAAATGTCCTGCAGGTCAGAAAATAACACCATAACACTACTGAAAAAGTTTGAAATACAGGACTTCCTTGAAAGTCCTAACTGCTGGGGTTCAGGTGTTTTCTACTACAGCCAGCTGTGGCAAAGAATTCTCTCAATGGGGATGGATTTTCCCTCCTCAGAAATACCTTTTGCCACTGTCATTTCCTTTGGCTGTGTCCCTCCAGTACATAAAGAGCAGCCAAGAGAAAGGAAGCTGAAAGGGAGCGCTGTATAACAGTATGCATTTTTACTTTATTAAGTAATAAACATCTTACACACCTTAAGATTTTATTAAGATGGTATAAATAACAATAGCTAATAGTTAATAATAAAAATATGTTAATAGTATTATTAACAGTAGCAAATATTGTTAGACATCCAATAAATCTATTTTTTCTTTAATGATAGTGAGATATTGCCAAGACAATAGCAATGGGGCATTGTCTGTTCAATATCTGGTTCAAAGTAACAAGTACATCCTGCCCTAGAATATTCCCACACAATGACTTTTAGAAAAAACATGTAGGAATTAAGATAAAGAGGGATCACTCTGAAAGACATAGATAAAGGAAACAGCAAAAGCTGGTGTAGTGCATAGATGGATTCCTGAAACATGGAGTTTTGGAGGTCTCTGAGAAGATAATCAGTGAGTTAAGGCATAATGATTTGTGTTAGCTATTTTTCTGTCCAAAAGATTGAAATATCTGAGGAACAGAGGTTTTCTTTTCCTGTGTGTTACCACATGGAGTATTTTGGCTCTCACTATGTTCTTACTGTTGCAAACAAGAATTCCCTTAGCATATCATGTGTGTTGAGTATCTTAATTTTTTTTAATGGAAAAGAAAAATATGTTTTGTTTTGGGAAATTACTACAGGAGCTGTAGCAAGTGATTTGATTCCCTAAGCAATACAGACTTTTAATGTATGAGTTGCTCTGTCTTAGGGTAAAAATTCAGAAAATAGTTCCACCTCAATGAAAAGCAGGATTTTGCTCCTGAATTCCTGGGAATTTCCCACCTAAGCTAAGAGCTCTCCTTTTTTCTCTCAGGTTACTCATTAAAAGCAGCCTCATGCCTCATTTAAAGAACAACAAATGGAGGAGACAGATCAACATTTCTTTCTGCATTTCTTTTTACCTGCAATTTGGGAACAGCTTTGGTTAAATCCAGTCTAGTGTAATCCACAGCGACATTCAAATCGATATAAGGGTGTCCAGTATGTTAGTAGATGAAGAAAAGAGTGAGAAATGCTCTGATAGAATTTGTTCTCTTTACAAGTTAGAAATTCTGGCCTTTTACTACTTTAGGTTGGGTAGTTCTCCAACTGGTGGTTTTTAGGACTTTATTCTCAGTGGCTGAGCAAATACTTTTAATTGCTTTAATTTTTCTGAGCAATTAAGGCCCAACCCTCTGTGAAGATCCTCAGTACTTATCTCAGGGTAATAAACCCATGCAGGTAGCCAGATATTGAACTACCAGGCACAGCAAATACTCACCTCACAAGTCCTTTTTAGATCTCAGCCAAAGCTTTCTTCCCTTTTCTGTTACTCGTATTGCAATTATTCCTACTTCCTGTCCTCCAGTCTCTTTGAAAGGATTTGTTTGATTATTAGCTACATTTTTCTGCTTTAAGTTTGCAGGTGGGTTTGTCTCAACACACAGGCAGATGCCAGGAAAAATCACTTCAGTCAGGTGCAGAGCTCAAGGTAGTGACAGGAGATCTCATCCCCGGTCAGCGCCGTAATCCACCGGGACCGCAAAGCAGCCGCCGACATGAAAGGCCTGATGTCCATATCCGTGAAAGCAGTGGCCATGTTCCAGTCCTCTTGGTGGGAAGCACTGGATGCAGCTCTCTGGAGCTTCTTGGAGGAAGCCCTTGCTTAGTTGGTCCTGGGAAAAAACAACTACATCTTGTCCTCCCCCTTTGCAGACACAGCTGTTACCACCAGAGCTGGTAGTAAAATTTCTGACTTCTTCTGTACCTTCCTCATGCTAGGTTTATCTTTGGTTCTATGAATATTTTATTGGCATGCCCACATTCCTCAGAAACATCAGGCTCCTTTACTTTGTTTTCTTGTTTGCTTCACTACAGAATAAGAGGGACAGACACCAGGCATTTAAATTAGGATTGCATTGTTCAATCCTTCTACAATGTGATGAAGATATCGTAGCCAGCTCTGTGGAGTTATCACCCTGCTGACCTTTAGGATCTACACTGGTTTTGGTCTGACACTGCAGCAATGAAGTTTCTTTGTTTCCTTTATAGGCAGGATGACATGTGCTTCCAGAGACAGAATGACCCCAAAGGAGAGATGCAGTAGGACCTGTGTGGGAAGCAGTGACAAGAATATTTGCCATTGGTTTTATCCCACTGCTTGGCCTTGTGCTGTTGCCAGCAGCTGTGTGGCTCAGGTCAGGCCAGACTGCAGGAAAATAGTAAGAAAAAACCACAGTACTATTTCCTTTTTGAGTTACAGAACACTACTTTTCCCACTCTGTGAAACAAATAACTTCAGTCCCCAATTTTCCATCATCAATTTATCCTGGATATTAAATGGGATGGAAGGTTAAACTGGGTATTTTTTTGCGTCACATGCAGATGAAGCTCCGTAAGTGCTGTGAAGCCAGAAGATTCCCATGTTGGCATGCTGTACATCCCCACATCATCTAC